CCACCTTTCCCTTCCCCTCCTGGTATGGCTACTCAGTATTGGTCCTGAGGGGTTTAACTGTCCCGGATTCCCTGTATTTCCAGCTCTGATCTGTACCTGTGTACATGCTCTGGTCTCGCTGGATTTGTAGTAGAATTGGGGTCATGATAGTGGCAGGGAGGTGGGGGAGGAAGCATTAAAGAACTAGAGGAAAGTTGTGTTTCATCGCTGCTATACTGCACCTGACTGGCTGGTCTCTTCCTGTGACCCTTCTGTAAGGAGATGTCCAATTGTCTGCAGTTGGGCATTGGGTCTCCACTCCGCACTCCCCCTCATTCACAACGATAGGATTTTTTGTTCTTTGATGCCTGATACCTGATCCTATCGACACCCCATGATCACACAGGCTGGTGTGCTTCCTCCATGTGGGCTTTGTTGCTTCTCAGCTAGATGGCCGCTTGTTTGTCTTCAAGCCTTTAAGACCCCAGACGCTGTATCTTTTGACAGCCGGGCTCCACTTAGTGTGGTGCTAGATTCGTAGTGTTTTCTGCTTCCCTTCTATATGACTGGGTTTGTGGGATTTTTCTGCATTCTAGTTTGGTTTAAATGGTCGTTTGTTTACATGTGGGTATGTGGAGTAATTTATTCTGTTGCTCTTTATACTTTTTCAAGGATAAGTAGGAAGATTTGGGACTAGGCCATTGTCACATTCCTTCCAGAAATGGAACCAAGATTGGAACCTACTAGGTATTTTTTATGCCCACAGAAATCGTGGTAACTTTAATGCTTTGAATTGAAAAGGGGAAGCTGGTGCCTGTTCGGGTAAAGTGCTGAAACGGTGCACTGGAACATCGCCGGTGTTTTACAGTCGTACGGTTTTGTCAAAATGAGCTCACTGGTTCGTGCATTCTCGGATTTTAGCAAAGAGAAGGAAAGAAACCCTTAGCATCTGTGTGGACTATTTGGGTGCAGTTGGTTGGGGTGGGGGTAGGGAGATGGGTGCCTAGACCCTAGTCTATCTCTATCACCTTTGATCATTCCTTGAATGTTATTTTTTCTCTTTGTATTTAATTGAGTAGTGGCTTTGGGCATTTTGTGTTTCAGGACCCAAGGTTGTTTGAGATACCGATGGAGATGGAAAGGTTGAGGGATAATTACTGCTTGGGGTCAGAACTGTAAAGCTCAGGCTGTCTGAATACCCTGCCCCACTGCCCCCTCCCTCCCTTTCTTTTCAGGGTCTGTTAAGAGCAGGAGGACAGAGAGAGGAAGTGGCTGTCGGGATTATTTGCTATTGCGTTTCATTGTAACCAGATCAATAATACATTGTTACTCTGGCCATCCATGGAAATAGCTTTGCTGCAGTGATGGCCGCCATACATTGTATTTCACAGAAATGGTTTCTGATTTTCCATCTTGAAAGTGAAGAGGCCAACCTTTGCAGGTAGGGAGCTCTAATAGATGTGTATCCTTCCAGCACCTGTGCTAAAGCCTACTGCAGGGCAGGTGTGACCAGTTAAATTAAGTTGGTCAAGTTCATTACGGAAATAGAGGAATTCCAAAAATGCACAGGGAATGTTTCTTAGACTACAAATAAAGGCTGTAGGAATTTTTACATGGGGAAAACTTCAAGTAGTCTGTGCTTAATACAATATTAGTGGATTATGTATTTTGTCAGTGTGTGTATTAACCCTAGGTAGCTACACTATTCTAACTGTAGTTATTGGACTTATATTTCTTACATGATACTGATCTATTAGAATTGTTCATTATCAAAAGATATTAGTTAAAAAAATTTTTTGTCTGATTCTATTCAGTTTCTGCCAATAGGAAATGAAAAGTGTTAGGTTGAGTCTCTGTGCATGCTTTTTAATAGTGGTTGGCAGGGAAGTGCTTACCGGTAGGGACTGCGTTTCTGTTACACTGTGCACTCCACTGTCTGTTTGCTGGGTTTCTCTGCTGGTGGCTCTCACTTACCATTCTAACGATAATCAAAACGATAGGTGTGCGCACTGATCCCTTGTTTCCACCTGGGTCAGAGCCAGCACTCTGAGCTACAGCAAGAGTCTAGAAACCATGCCCTTGATCCATCGAGTTAGAATGATTTGATTAGCAGCTGGCACAAACCAGCCGCTGATCAGAAGTTGAGTCTCTGCATTACTGCTGTGGGGCAGAATTTTAATTTGCAGGAAGATGTGTATTTCGCTGCAAATGGATTTCTCTCAGCCCTCCTGGTTAGCCGCTGGGTTGCCGTGCATGAAATTGAAGGGTAGCTGTTCCTCTCGGGATGCGCTAGGATCCAAGCCATCCACACGGTTCAGGGCGACTCCTTGTCTTCTGTGCCAGATTTGCAAATGTGGTCCAAAACAAGTTGAAGGATTGCTCTAGTAAGTGGATTAGTCACTTGGCCTAATTACCAGGTATTATGGTTATTAGGTTCTCTAGAATCAGAGTTTGGGCTGCTGGAATTAAATGTTAATTAAAAGTTGAGTTGATGGCAGCAAAGTGGGTGGATCCAGTCAGAACTGGGTCCCAAACTTCCTAGTGGTGTGACCCTGGGCAAGATAGTGGACTTCTCTGGTTTTTTTTACCTGGTACGCAGGAGTAGTATCTTTATGCTCGGGCTGGAGCTGACATTGAATGTACCCTGAAGTAGTCAGGTTCCAGAGACAAGTGAACATCAAGACTGACCTTCCACTTCAGCCCCTTCTCTGTCCTTTGAATGTCCCCCTTCACTCCTGCTGAAGTCACCTACCACCTCCACGGGTGGTGGTGGGGAGCTCAGTCTTCTAAGGAGGCCCAAGTTCCTTCCCCAGGTCTCCACCAGACTCCCCTAGCCTCACTGTATTTTCAGTGTGGGTGGCCCTAGCTTATCTCTCAACCCCAAAATGTTCTGGTGGCTTTTTCCGGGCAGAGGAGTACAGGCAGAAGGGCCTGCGTGTGGCAGGGATGGTATCTGTAGCCCGCTGGGTCCTCCTGCCAGCCTTAGCTCTCCTAGTTGACCCTGACCCTCCCCCTGAATGTCTCCTTGAGAATCAAACCAGAGCATCCTCAGAGGCAGAACAGCCAGGCCTGGCTCTGTCCTGGACTTTACATTGCAGCTGCCATTGCCCACTCACTCCTGGATCCTGCTGCTCTGCCTTGCCCTCACCTGTAGAGCTTTTAAACACGGCTTGGCCCAGCCCTGCTGAGGCCAGACCCTGGGATCCCACTTCTCCCTGTCCCCAAGGGCCTACCTTGAAGACACTTGCTGCCTCAATTACCGTCGTCAACATCATCAACCCACTACCCGTGGGCAGCCTACTCCATCCATTACCTGAGGAAGATACACACCCCTCCCCAGCAGGGTGATAGTATGCAATACACACGTCCTTTCTGTCTGCACGAAGAGTCTACTGATAGAGGCCTTAGCATTGGTTCCTGCCAGAGAGATGCCGTTAATGCTCAAAATTGATGAAGAGATTTTTGGCCACTCGTAAATGTGAAATGTCAGGTAACAAGAGAGACAGCGCCTAAGTATAGTGCACTTAGCCTTCCCTGCACCTGTCGCATGGTGCACCTGTTCCCCCAAAGTTAACTGTCATTAATGTGCCTTGCAAATAGTTAGCTTGCTTGGCTGCTAACCCAAGAGCTGGTGGTTCAAGTCCCCAGGGGTACCTCAGAGAAAGACCCGGCGGTCTGCTTCCATACAACCAGCCATGGAAACACATGGAGGCTCCGTGCATCAGAATCCACTCAACAACAGCTGGTGTTGGAGGGTATAATTGGAGGCTTGGTAAGCATGCTGTTTGTGCATCACTTAATCTGAAACGCCAGTGATCGCCAGACTGCATGCAGCATGTGAAATACAGTAGGGTTTGTGTATTTTTATTTTTGCATTTTTGAAGGTTTAAGTCTTTCTGATGAATATATTTCATGGAGCAGGTAGAGATACTTTTATTTCCTTCCAGCCACTTGGTCCCAATACTATTTAGAGTAACTCTTTTCCCCACTGACTTAAAGAGGCTCATTGTAGAATTTCAAAGCGTTCCTTCACGACGTACTGTCAAAGAAGAGCAGTTCTACCGTGCAATTTCATGTGACACTTTGTAAATTCAGAGATAATGGAATCGCTAAAAAGAAAACACAAATCCGATCGTCAACCTTGCCATTTTTCTCTCCATAGCAAGAACTAAATAATAAACGATTCTCTTTAGCCTTTTTAATTGTATGCTAAATTTATTTTACTCTTAATGGCACAGCTAATGCTCATTTGGCTGTGGCAGTTAAGAGTTATATTGACAGAAGTGAATTCGTTAAGCCGCCTGGAACTTGCCCGTTGGAAGCAGGCCTGGGGAGACCTGCAGGAATTTGGACAAAGCAGAGACTGGGTGACAGGTGGGGCTCTTCTCCAGCAGTGCCCCTCGTTTCCGTTCTTACAGCACTCTAAGGCTTTTTTTTATTTAAGCTATACTATGTGCTGTACAACGGAGCCCTGGTAGCATTGTGAGTGGGTTATGTGTTAGGCTCCTTCACCACACGGTCAGCAGTTTGAAACCACCAGCTGCTCTGTAGGAGAAAGATGGGGCTTTGTACCCCATATAAAGTTACGGTCTCAGACATGCACAGGGGCAGTTCTACTCTGTCCTGTATGGTCGCTGTGAGTCAATCAGCGCGATGGCAGTAAGTTTATTGAGTGTGTGGTTTTTTCTGATTTTCGTATTGTCTGGCTTTTTAACATTTACTATATTAATTCACTTCGAATTTGTTTTCTTCTGTGGTATAAATGTGCTAAGAGTTATATTGACAGAAGTGAATATACCACCCAGAATGTGCCCAATCTGTTCTGGTCTCGGAAGTTAAGGGTTGGCCTGGTTAGTACTTGGATGGGAGACCACCTGGCAGTAACGGGTGCTGTAGCCTTTCAGGAGACCTGGTGGCACTGTTGGATAATTGGACTGTTAACCCCAAGGTCTACAGTTCAAACCCACCAGCTGCTCTGTGGAAGAAAGGTGAGACTTTACAGCCTTGGCAACCCTGCATAGGGTCAGCATGAGTCTGAATCGTCTCAGCAGCAGTGGGTGGGATGGTGCAAATTGCGCCCGTCCCTGTGGCCATTGAATCCACTCTGACTCAGGCGAGCCTGCTTGCGTGTGTCAGTAGAAGTGGTCTCCACAGGGTGTGCAACAGATGATTCTTTTTGGTTTTTAAGTAGATCACCGGACTTTGCTTGGGGGGTTCCTCAGAGAAATCAGTCCCCCGAACTTGCATAGAACCAAGCAGAGTGTTTGCGCCCCTTGAAGTTGTGTCGGCCCGGCCCGCCCAGCTAGGAGGTTGACGTCTACCTTCCGCGCCAACCACAAAAACAAATTGCATACACCTATCATTTTAAAAAATGAAGCGTATTTTGCAAGTTAAACATTTTTTAACTTCCTATACATTGGTATAAAGGGTGAAGGTCAGATAACTACTCTCTCAGTGTTTCCCATTTTCTGTTTGAGAGCCCTGTTCACTTCCTCCTTGCTCTCTAATCTTCCTGTTTGCTTGACACCTGCTTCTGAACTCTGCTCAGCTCTCCCTGCTGTGACCGTGCGCTAGCACCTCACGGCACCTCCGAGTCTCTGCACCCTTATTTTCCTCCAGCTGTCAGCTGCCGAGTAAGGTGGCTTTGTATGGTTGGGAAAGGGTAGCATCCTTTCTGAGTGTCACCATTTCCTTTGAAGCAGGAGCACTTCAGAGACAATTGAACAGCTTTTAGGTTCTTCTTACCGCCAGCTTTTTCTTCTGATAGATCCCGCCGCAAACGCGCCCTTCTGTTGATGGCATCGGTTTGTTGCTATGGAAATAGCCGAATGTCACAGATTCAGCCCAGTGCCTTTATTGCAGGTTCAGGCAGGAGGAATGGGCGAGGCTTTAGGGAAGAACCTTATTAAAACTGAAAAGTATCCGTTAGAAGCAGGTGAAAGGTAAATGGACCCAACCTTTAATGTAGTGGAAACAGAAAGTGAACTTCCCGCCCTTCCACTGCCTGCAATGAAAGGCCTCCGCGTGAATTCTGACCACGGCGAGAGCCTTCGACAGCGCCAACGTTGTCTGCGGTCTCAGAACAGTGCTTCTATTTACGTTGACACCCTTCACCCCGACTGATGGGCACTTACAGCTTCTTCCTTTTGATTGCAGGTCATGGGCAGCAGCAGCAGCAAGTAGTCCCTGCTCCTGTCTCAGCAACCAGTCCACCAACCAGCAAACCCCAGCAACAGAATGGGAGTTCAGGAATGGGTAAGGCTGCCTCTGGAGGACATGTGTTGATCCTGGCTTTTGAATAATGTTTAGAAATTTAATCTGGGACTGAAGGAAAATTTCAAAACGCCACTCATGGTAGATTGGTTTCTTGCAGAGAATAATTCCACTCTGACTGTAAAAGTGTGTGATTGGCGGAACGGTGGTCTTTTAAAGATACTCAGCAATATGCCTTTTTAAAGTCAGCATGAACGGCGTTTTTTTTAATTGGCATATAATTCACGTATCTTACAAGTCAGTAGTTCAATAATACTAAGAAGAGTTGTGCAATCACCACAATCAATTTTAGAACATTTTCTTTTTTCTTGAACTTATAAATGAAAAGCCTTTTCCATTGATAGTGTTATCTTTTTTTAAAATCATTTTTGGGGGGGCTTGTACAACTCTTACCACAATCCATACATACATCCATTGTGTCAAGCACATTTGTTGCCATCATCATTCTCAAAACATTTGTTTTCTACTTGAGCCCTTGGGATCAGCTTCTCATTTTTTCCCCTCCCTCCCGAACCCTTGCTAAGATATAAATCATTATTTTTTTCATGTCTTACAATGACCAGTGTCTCCCTTCACCCTCTTTTCTTGTGTCCATACCCCTGGAAGGGGGTTATA